TTTCTGACAGTTCTCTGACATTCACTCCATACAGCGGTTGAAACATTGTATCTATTTGTTTCCATAAATGGAAACAAATAGATACAATGTTTCAACCGCTGTATGGAGTGAATGTCAGAGAACTGTCAGAAATAGCGGAGCTCTGCAGATACACTTAGCGGAGCTCTGCAGATACACTTTTTGCCGGCTTGGAATTCTTCTTATTTTCATCCTACTTCTTTCTTCTTCTTCTTTCTTTCTTCTCACTCATCCTCATCCTCTCTCTTCTTCTGAGGATGAGGATGATGAAGAAGAAGAAGAAGAAGAAGAAGTAGGATGAAAATAAGAAGAATTCCAAGCCGGCAAAAAGTGTATCTGCAGAGCTCCTCTAAGTGTATCTGCAGATAATAGAGGAGCTCTGCAGATACACTTTTTGCCGGCTTGGAATTCTTCTTATTTTCATCCTACTTCTTCTTCTTCTTCTTCTTCTAGAAGTAGGATGAAAATAAGAAGAATTCCAAGCCGGCAAAAAGTGTATCTGCAGAGCTCCGCTAAGTGTATCTGCAGAGCTCCTATTTCTGACAGTTCTCTGACATTCACTCCATACAGCGGTTTGAAACATTGTATCTATTTGTTTCCATTTATGGAAACAAATAGATACAATGTTTCAACCGCTGTATGGAGTGAATGTCAGAGAACTGTCAGAAATAGGCTATTTCTGACAGTTCTCTGACATTCACTCCATACAGCGGTTTGTATGGAGTGAATGTCAGAGAACTGTCAGAAATAGCCTATTTCTGACAGTTTCTCTGACATTCACTGTTCCATACAGCGGTTGAAACATTGTATCTATTTGTTTCCATAAATGGAAACAAATGCAGATACACTTAGCGGAGCTCTGCAGATACACTTTTTGCCGGCTTGGAATTCTTCTTATTTTCATCCTACTTCTTCTTCTTCTTCTTCTTCATCCTCATCCTCTCCTCTTCTTCTTCTGAGGATGAGGATGAGGATGAAGAAGAAGAAGAAGAAGAAGAAGTAGGATGAAAAAATAAGAAGAATTCCAAGCCGGCAAAAAGTGTATCTGCAGAGCTCCTCTAAGTGTATCTGCAGAATAGAGGAGCTCTGCAGATACACTTTTTGCCGGCTTGGAATTCTTCTTATTTTCATCCTACTTCTTCTTCTTCTTCTTCTTCTCTTCATCCTCATCTCATCTCTTCTTCTTCTTCTGAGGATGAGGATGAGGATGAAGAAGAAGAAGAAGAAGTAGGATGAAAATAAGAAGAATTCCAAGCCTTGAAACATTGTATCTTTTTTTGTTTCCATTTATGGAAACAAATAGATACAATGTTTCAACCGCTGTAAATGTGAATGTCAGAGAACTGTCAGAAATAGAGGAGCTCTGCAGATACACTTAGCGGAGCTCTGCAGATACACTTTTTGCCGGTTTGGAATTCTTCTTATTTTCATCCTACTTCTTCTTCTTCTCTCTTCTTCCTTTCATCCTCTTCTTCTTCTTCTTCTCCTTCTTCTTCTTCTCCTTCTCCCTTCTTCTCATCCTTCTTCTTCATCCTTCTTCTCATCCTTCTTCTTCTTCACATCCTTCTTCTCATCCTTTCTTCTTCTCATCTTCTTCTCATCCTTCTCCTTCTTCTCATCCTTCTTCTCATCCTTCTCCTTCTTCTTCATCCTTCTCCTTCTTCTCATCCTTCTCCTTCTTCTCATCCTTCTTCTCCTTCTTCTCATCCTTCTCCTTCTTCTCATCCTTCTCCTTCTTCTCATCCTTCTCCTTCTTCTCATCTTCTCCTTCTCCTTCTTCTCATCCTTCTCCTTCTTCTCATCCTTCTCCTTCTTCTCATCCTTCTCCTTCTTCTCATCCTTCTCCTTCTCCTTCTTCTCATCCTTCTCATCCTTCTCCTTCTCCTTCTCCTTCCTCATCTCCAAGGGCATTTAAATTAAAGGTACAGTGTTCTGCACTAATTTAAAGGCTCTCTGGAAACCCCTTTTTATAAGTTAAATTTGTAGCAAATAAATTCGCATCGAATCGAATTTTCTTCCTCAAATTCGGCGAATCAGCCGAATCGAATTTTTGAATAATTCGCTCATCTCTAATTGCTGTTTCAACCCATTTCACATACATTTTGTCCCTAGTGCTTTGTCCTGTGCCCTGCGTGCATTTTGTCTGTTCTTTCTGCCTGGAAACTGAGAAACGTCCATGGCGTCCAAAAAGTGTCCCTTTAGGTCAAAAGCGGGTTTAGATCAGCTAGAGAACAGCGATAGTAAATCAGAACCACTTGCAGAATTGAGTGATAATGATTCTTGGGGAAATTCGTCATCGGACACTGAAAACGATTTTGCGACTTTGCTCAGCAATGTACGAAGTTGGCGCTCTATTTCAAATTTCAGTGTTTTCGGTTTGATTATATTATTGAATGTATTGATGTATTATTATTATATTATTATTTTTTATGATTATTTATTAAATTATAATTTATGATTTTGTGTTTCAAATTTTATCATACCCGGGATGTTTACTAGACTCTTGTTCGGACAGATTTCAGTGAGTTATTCCTAAAAATTACAGCCTACAATAAAAAAAAATACATATTTCCATGCAAAATAAATGGTACCCGCTTTCAGCACCAAAAATCTGAAATAATCATACCGCTAGGGAGGCTAAATAAGGGCAATAATTGCCACCTGTTTTTCAAATAATGAATGACCTCACTAATAGAACTCCACACTGCTATTATTTTGAACATGCCCCTTTCAATTAGTGATTCAATTACACAGAATCAGCAGCATGCATGTCATGACTGTTGGGTCTGTTGGACTTCTATTACTCTACTACACCTGCTAGTAAAAATTATTTGCCATGTAGAAATATCATTTCTACCAAAAACAGTGATTGATCTGTTAGTGATGTCTGACTGCTATTATTTTGAACACAACTGTGTATATATATATATATATATATATATATATATATATATATATTGCTTTAAAAAGTCAAAGGAAACACTTTGAAAACACATCAGATCTCAATGGGGAAAAATATCATGCTGGATATCTATACTGATATGGACTGGGTAATGTGTTAGGAACGTAAGGATACCCCATCGTTTGATGGAATTGAAAATGATCAGCCTACAGAGGACTGAATTCAAAGACACCCATTCAAAGTGAAAAAATGATGCAGCAGGCTAGTCCATTTTGCTGAAATTTCATTGCAGCAACTTAAAAAATGGTACTCAGTAGTTTGAATGGCCCCCACATGCTTGTATGCATGCCTGACAACGTTGGGGCATGCTCCTACTGAGACAACGGATGGTGTCCTGGGGTATTTCCTCCCAGATCTGGACCAGGGCATCACTCAGCTCCTGAACAGTCTGAAGTGCAACCGATTGACCGAAACATGACATCCCAGATGTGTTCTATTGGATTTAAGTCAAGCGAATGTGGGGGCCATTCAACGGTATCAATTCCTTCATCCTCCAAGGACTGCCTGCATACTCTCGCCACATGAGGCCAGGCATTGTCGTGCACCAGGAGGATCCCAAGACCCACTGCACCAGTGCAGGGTCTGAGAAACGGTCCAAGGATTTCATCCAGATACTTAATGGCAGTCAGGATGCCATTGTCTACCCTGTAGAGGTCTGTGCATCCCTCCATGGATATGCCTCCCCAGACCATCACTGACCCACCAGCAAAACAGTCATGCTGAACGATGTTACAGGCAGCATAAAGTTCCCCACGGCTTCTCCAAACCCTTTCACATCTGTCACATGTGCTCAGGGTGAACCTGCTCTCATCTGTGAAAAGCACTGGATGACAGTGGCGGACCTGCCAATTCTGGTGTTTAATGGCAAATGCCAATCGAGCTCAGGCAGTCAACTTAGGGCCCACTAGAGGATGTCGGGCCCTCAGGCCAACCTCATGAAGTCTGTTTCTGATTGTTTGGTCAGAGACATTCACATCAGTAGCCTGCTGGAGGTCATTTTGTAGGGCTCTGGCAGTACTCATCCTGTTCCTCCTTGCACAAAGGAGTAGATACCGGTCCTGCTGATGGGTTAAGAACCTTCTATGGCCCTGTTCAGCTCTCCTAGAGTAACTGCCTGTCTCCTGGAATCTCCTCCATGCTCTTGAGACTGTGCTGGGAGACACAGCAAACCTTCTGACAATGGCAAGTATTGATGTGCCATCATGGAGGAGTTGGACTGCCTGTGCAACCTCTGTAGGGTCCAGGTATCGCCTCATGCTATCAGTAGTGACAATGACCCTAGCCAAATGCAAAACTAGTGAAAAACAGTCAGAAAATATGAGTAGGGAAAAAATGTCAGTGGCCTCCACCTGAAAAACCATTCCTATTTTGGGGGTCATCTCATTGTTGCCCATCTAGTGCATCTGTTCTTAATTTCATTAACACCAAAGCAGCTGAATCTGATAAACAACCCTCGCTGCTATGTAACTGACCAGATCAATATCCCAGGAGTTTAATTGACTTGATACTATACTCTGATTAAAAAGTGTTCCTTTAATTTATTTTAAATATTACATATTTAAAAAAAACAGTCATTCCTCTAATTACTTCACTGTTTCACAAAAGGAACATGTATCTATTACACATAGCAACAGATCAGATTTCCCCCTCATTTTTATATTTCCTTTCCTACCATTTTTATTCATAAGGTCTTGTACATTTTCTTTTTTCAAGGTGCTGTAAAAATCAATGTTATCAGCAATGATGATCTGAAACAACAGTAACCCATAGCAACCAACTCAATTCCATTTGTTCAGTTCTTGGTCACATAATGGCCATGATAAAGCCAAGTCTTTCTAATGTACCTTTTTTTCTGTAGTGTAAAAATGAAGTGTTGGAGTAAGATCCCTTGAACTCACCGTAGGAACTGTTAAAATATTTTTAATTCACTGAAATACCCACAAAACTCAAATATTAATTGTAGGTGAACTTTGCCTTTAATATCTCAGCAAAGTAGATTGTGGTTATTAATGTTAACATATAAGATAATAAAGGCGGTGCATTGCTGACAAAAAAGTACCGTATTTTTCGCTCCATAAGACGCACCTGACCATAAGATGCACCTAGGTTTTAGAGGAGGAAAACAACAAAAAAAAATTCTGAACCATTGGACTGCAGACATAGTACAAAAAATGAGTAGAGACTGCAGATGTACTACAGGAGATGACCAGGGACTGCGGACACAGTACAGGAGATGACTAGAGACTGCAGATGTACTACAGGAGATGACCAGAGACTGCGGACATACTACAGGAGATGACCAGAGACTGTGGACACACTACAGGAGATGACCAGAGACTGCAGACATAGTACAGGAGATGAGCAGAGACTGTGGACACAGTACAGGAGATGACCAGAGACTGCTGACACAGTACAGGGGATGACCAGAGACTGTGGACACAGTACAGGAGATGACCAGAGACTGCGGACATAGTACAGGATATGAGCAGAGACTGTGGACATACTACAGGAGATGACCAGAGACTGCGGACATAGTACAGGAGATGACCAGGGACTGCAGACACAGTACAGGAGATGACTAGAGACACTGCAGATGTATACTACAGGAGATGACCAGAGACTGCGGACATACTACAGGAGATGACCAGAGACTGTGGACACACTACAGGAGATGAGCAGAGACTGCAGACATAGTACAGGAGATGAGCAGAGACTGTGGACACAGTACAGGAGATGACCAGAGACTGCGGACACAGTACAGGGGATGACCAGAGACTGTGGACACAGTACAGGAGATGACCAGAGACTGCGGACATAGTACAGGATATGAGCAGAGACTGTGGACAAACTACAGGAGATGACCAGAGACTGCAGACATACTACAGGAGATGACCAGAGACTGCAGACATAGTACAGGAGACGACCAGAGACTGCGAACATACTACAGGAGATGACCAGAGACTGCGAACATACTACAGGAGATGACCAGAGACTGCGGACTTACTACAGGAGATAACCAGAGACTGCGGACATACTACAGGAGATGACCAGAGACTGCAGACTCAGTACAGGAGATGACCAGAGACTGCGGACATAGTACAGGAGATGACCAGAGACTGCGGACACAGTACAGGAGATGACCAGAGACTGCGGACACAGTACAGGAGATGACCAGAGACTGCAGATGTACTACAGGAGATGACCAGGGACTGCAGACACAGTACAGGAGATGACTAGAGACTGCAGATGTACTACAGGAGATGACCAGAGACTGCGGACATACTACAGGAGATGACCAGAGACTGTGGACACACACTACAGGAGATGAGCAGAGACTGCAGACATAGTACAGGAGATGAGCAGAGACTGTGGACACAGTACAGGAGATGACCAGAGACTGCGGACACAGTACAGGGGATGACCAGAGACTGTGGACACAGTACAGGAGATGACCAGAGACTGCGGACATAGTACAGGATATGAGCAGAAACTGTGGACAAACTACAGGAGATGACCAGAGACTGCAGACATACTACAGGAGATGACCAGAGACTGCAGACATAGTACAGGAGACGACCAGAGACTGCGAACATACTACAGGAGATGACCAGAGACTGTGGACATACTACAGGAGATAACCAGGGACTGCGGACATACTACAGGAGATGACCAGAGACTGCAGACACAGTACAGGAGATGACCAGAGACTGCGGACATAGTACAGGAGATGACCAGAGACTGCGGACACAGTACAGGAGATGACCAGAGACTGCGGACATAGTACAGGAGATGACCAGAGACTGCAGACACAGTACAGGAGATGACCAGAGACTGCGGACATAGTACAGGAGATGACCAGAGACTGCGGACATAGTACAGGAGATGACCAGAGACTGCGAACATACTACAGGAGATGATCAGAGACTGCGGACATAGTACAGGAGATGACCAGAGACTGCGGACATACTACAGGAGATGATCAGAGACTGCGGACATAGTACAGGAGACGACCAGAGACTGCGAACATAGTACTGGAGATGACCAGAGACTGCGGACATAGTACAGGAGATGATCAGAGACTGCAGACATAGTACAGGAGATGACCAGAGACTGCGAACATACTACAGGAGATGATCAGAGACTGCAGACATAGTACAGGAGATGACCAGAGACTGCGGACATACTACAGGAGATGACCAGAGACTGCAGACACAGCAGACACAGTACAGGAGATGACCTGAGACTGCGGACATACTACAGGAGATGACCAGAGAAAGGGGGGAGAAGTCCTGGTCAATATTCGCTCCATAAGCCACACAGACATTTCCCTCCATTTTGGGGGGGGGGGGGAAGAAGTGCATTCTATGGAGCGAAAAATACGGTATATTTGAATAATGCCACTCAATATTCTGTGCATTTACAAGTTGAGTGAGACACCTAGTGGCATCATGGAGAATGAATCAAAATACTTATATCTGTTTGAAGGTAGGTACACAGAGCTGACCTATTGTGAGGCTAGCAGTAGTCTAAATATTAGGTAAACAGTGTAGAAAAAGCCTTTGTATGCGTAATACCAGAAAATTATTAATATTACTTTAATTAATATTATTTATAATTATTATTATACAGGATTTATTTAGCGCCAACAGTTTATGCAGCACTTTACAATATAAATAGGGATAGTACAATTACAATAAAGTTCAATATTCAATACAGAAGGAATAGGGCCTTGCTGATGAAGCTTACAATCTAAAGGAAGGGGTACAAAAGGTAAAACTGCAGGGGATGATCTGATGGAGATGACTCAAGTACAGTTTTTAGATGGAGGTGGGATCGGCTTCCCTGAATAAATGAGTTTTCAAGGATTGCCTAAATACAGACAGGGTAAAAGCTGACTGGACATACCGGGATAGGGAGTTTCAAAGGATGGGAGAGGTTCTGGAAAAGTCCTGGAGGTGAGCATGGGAGAAGGTAACAAGAGAACTAGAGAGCAAGATGTCTTGAGAGGAACCGGAGAGGATGGTTTAAGCAATATCTATAGATGAGGTTGGTGGTGTAGCTTGGGGCAGTGTTGTGGATGGCCTATAAATACAGGTTGCATGATTTCTTTGATTTTTTTTTTTTTTTGTGAAAAATAATTTAAACAAATAATACATGCTGAAATAGAGTAGTGCCTGAGGATGGGGGATACAACATGTATGTATGTATGTATGTATGTATGTATGTATAATACAACTATTATTATTATTATACAGGATTTACAGTTTGCTCAGTGCTTTACAATATACAGGGAGACAAATACAGCAACGATACAGTTCAATACAAGAGGGTTAGGAGGGCCCTGCTCCTTGGAGCTTACAATCTAAGAGGGAGGGGCTGGTGGTACAAAAGTTAGTAACTGGGGGGGATTAATTGATAGGAGGAATAGAAGATTCCGTTATTAGCTGAAGGTGGGATAGGCTTCCCTGAAGAGATAGGTTTTCAGAGATCGCCTAAAAGTAGGCAGAGTAGGCGATAGTCGGATAGATTGGGGTAGAGAGTCCTAGAGGACAGGGGAAGCTCTGGAGAAGTCCTGGAGATGAGCATGGGAGGAGGAGACACGGGAGTTAGAGAGCAGGAGGTCGTGCGAGGAGCGGAGAGGACGGTTTGGGTGATATTTGGAGACAAGATTGGTGATGTAATTTGGGGCAGAGTTACACATGGCTTTATATGTTATTGTTAATATTTTGAATTTTATTCGTTGGGAAAGCCAGTGGAGGGATTGGCAGAGAGGGATGGCAGATATGGAACGGTTAGTAAAGTGGATGAGTCTGGCAGCAGCATTCATGATAGACTGAAGAGGGGATAGCCTACGATTAGGTAGGCCAATGAAGAGGGAGTTACAATAGTCAAGGCAAGATATAACAAGGGAGTTAATAAGTTTCTTAGTAGTTTCCGAGGTTAGGAACGGGCGTATGTTGGAAATGTGGTGGAGATGAAGTCTACAAGATTTGGACAGCGATTGGATATGGGACTGAAAGGACAGATGGGAATCTAGGATTACACTTCGTACCTTAATATTATACAATATAATGGATATAACAGAACGCAGTCAGAACACATCACAAGCTTCTGTATGAGAACCTGCCACTGTAAGTCAGAACAGTGTTCTAATACAGTTGAAGGTGCTGCAGTCATCAGGAATTTGAGAGATTAGGGTGAGTCATGGGCTTTCTATATGTGGGGGTGCAGGTTGTGAGTTATTCACTTGAACTTTCACCCAGTGGGTTAGTCAGCTCAGGGGCAATGTGCTAATGTGCAGATTACCTTAGTGTTTGGCAGCCTAATTGAAGAGCTATGAGGCATGGCTTGTAATCATCCTAAAATTGGAAAGGATGGCATGAGTTGCCATTCTGGGGAATCTAAGTGTGTCTCAGTTAATCAATCTTGAGGTGGGGGGCGGTGTGCAGACTGCTGGCCCTTGTGTAGTTATCAAGCTACCATCGTGAAGAGAGCTGGGTTGTTGATTATCAATCCAAGGCAGGGGCAGACTGACAACTCATGGGGCCCCGGGCAATAGGGGATCCTTGCTCACACCATAAAAGCCCATAAAAGATGCCAGGGGCATTTCATGGGGCCCCCTACTGACCCGGGCCCTCGGGCAGTGCCCAAGTGCTCGAATGGTCATTCCGCCCCTGATCCAAGATCTTGCATGCCACAGGTCTTCAAGGGGGGGAGCAGCTCCAGAGACAGAAATCCCATGAGAGTGAAGATATAAGTCACCTTTTTTTCCAGTTTGGAAGACAATGGGGGTTTCTGATTATCACTTTATGTGGTACTGTGGTGATGGCTGTAGGACATTATTAGCTGAGGCAATGCAGGTTGCAGGGCATCAGTTCTCATAAGAAAAGGTTCTAATATAAGGTAATTTAGTGACTTGGATCTTACAAAGCAACTAATCTGCGGGGAAGCAAAGGGAAGGTACAGTGGGGAAAATAATTATTTGATCCCCTGCAGATTTTGTAAGTTTGCCGCTTACAAAGAAATGAAAGGTTTATAATTTTTATCATAGGTGTATTTTAAATGATAGAGACAGAGTAAGAACCAAAAATCCAGAAAAAACATGATACAAATCTTATAAACTGAGTTGCAGTTCAGTGAGTAAAATAAGTATTTGATCCCCAAGCAAAACATGACTTAGTACTTGGTGGAGAAACCTTTGTTAGCAAGCACAGAAGTAAGACATTTCTTGTAGTTGGTTACCAGGTTTTTACATATCTCAGTAGGGATTTTGGTCCACTCTTCTCTACAAATCTCCTCTAAATCCTTAAGGTTTCTTGGCTGTCGCTTGGCAACTTGAAGTTTCAGCTTCTTCCATTAATTTTTTATAGGATTAAGGTCTGGAGACTGGCTAGGCCACTCCATGATCTTAATGTGCTTCTTCTTGAGCCACTCCTTTGTTGCCTTGGCAGTATGTTTTGGGTCATTGTCATGCTGGAACACCCATCCTCAACCCATCTCCAGTGTTCTGGCTGGGGGAAAAAGGTTCTCATCTATTTTACAATGCATGGCCCCGTCCATTGGCCCCTCAATGCGGCCTGTACCTTTAGCAGAGAAACAGCCCCAAAGCATAATGCTTCCACCTCCGTGCTTGACTGTAGGGATGGTGGGTCATAGTCAGCATTGTTCTTCCTCCAAATGCGGTGAGTCGAGTTAATTCTAAAGATCTCAATTTAATCTGGGATTAGATATAGCAAGGAAAATTCAGAAGGGGAAATAGAAAGATGTTTCTTACACATTCGTTGTGCCATGTATGAGGGCACGGTGGGCCTCACTTTTCTCCCACACACATTGCACACATGGAGGATTCACCACTGCGCTGCACTGAGGGAAGCATCATTCTGTGTTTGGACAAGCAGAGATGGTGAGGTTTATCTGCTCCTCCCCTCATCCAATCACAACTGCCTTATATTCCTGACCAGCAGTATAAGGGACACTATGACTGCAGCACTTTACTGTATATATTGTTTTTCAGTACATTATGCTTGCAGGTGGATGCAGCGTTGTGCGCGGTCAGTAAACATGCTGAGTCCAAGTACAAATAACAAGAGTTGTGAAGGAATGGCCCAAAGATACAAACAGCCCAGTGGGGGACACCCAGCTAGGAACACCCACGGTTCTGTGCAAATTTGTAGATAGGAGCAGGTTCTGATGCACCGACAGTGTCTGTCTCCAAGGGTAGAATGCGGTCTGGCCGGTCTAAACCCAAAGGGGAGGATTCTGAAGAAGGATGTCATGTCCCTATCCTTCTCAACTGGAACCTTTCACTACCGCTGTTCACAATCCCTGTTAGACAAGTGCACTGTCCCTATCCTACCCACTCAACAGAATGCACACCATATCCTAGGAGAAGATGCTTGAAGGCTATGTTGACCCAGGATGGCTGCCAGGGTCACCTATATGCAGTGTGGCCAACTGGAACACTGCCTTAGGGGACCAAGGAAGCCATAGAGAAACCAAGTTTCTCTCTGCTTCCTCTCCAGCTACAGTACCTACCACTCTGGCCAAGTGCCACCTACAGTGGAAAACTAACACTGCACCTGCCTAAATGCTAAGCTTGCTACTTTATATATTGTGTTGTGTATTACAATAGTGCTGACTGCTGTGCATTACAGTTAATGGTCAGTAGTTTCTGACTAATTTAAAGTTAATGTGAACACACAACTACATAGACACATGGGGGTAGATTTATTAAGACTGGAGAGTGCAACATCTGGCGCAGCTGTGCGTGGTAGCCAATCAGCTTCAACTTCAGCTTGTTCAATTAACATTTGACAAAAACACCTTGACGTTGATTGGTTACAATGCACAGTTGCACTCTCCAATTTTAGTAAATCAACCCATGGCAACATAGTTCAGGCTATATAATGGGCATACTAGCAATTAGGAAAGATAAAAAAAAATACATTTTTTTTTTTACCTTTCTCTAAGTTTTTATTGTTTGGTCATGTGACTGCACAGCAGGCAGCTATTTATGTCACTCACGCTGCACAGTTCTATTGGTTTGGAGTAGCTGAGAGTGGCTCCCAGATGGAGCCTTCCTGGCAATTGTAAAGGCAGTGCTGGGCACACTGATATTTCCATCACTCACACAGGAAACTCCACAGCTCAGCTAGTGGAGGGAGCGCTGGGCAGGCTAATTATTATGTCCCTCACTCATAATCAGCTCAGCTAGCAGAGGCACGGCTGGGCAGGGGAAGTGACAAGTAACATAGTTGGTAACGGGCGGACTAACCATTTGGAATCTCGGGCACTGCCCGAGGGCCCGGGGTCAGTAGGGGGCCCCATGAGATGCCCCTGGTACCTTTTTCATAGGCTTTTTTGAGTTTGGGCAAGGACACAGGGGCCCCATGATCTCCTATTGCCCGGGGGCCCTATGAGTTGTCAGTCCGCCCCTGGTTGGTAAGGTTGAGTAACACACTAGCCCATCCAGTTCAAGGTTTGTGTTTAAGCCAAAATCATTTCCCATATCCCTGTATATTGTGTTCGCTAAGTAAACAGACTACGGAAGATACAGGCATGCCGTGCATGAGCACAGTGTCCTGTACTTCTGAAATTCAAGTCTTATAATGCAAACAAGCATAAGTCTACTTTCATGCTTTGTGTGGTTTGTTTACAAGGAAGGGGAGCTGGCAGGGTCAACTAATTAGTAAATGCAGCAAAATAAAAAGCAACACATTACTATGGCACAGAATTTATTATTATACAGGATTTATATAGCGTCAACAGTTTGCTCAGCGTTTTACAATATAATGGGAGACAATACAGCAACAATACAGTTCAATACAAGAGGGATAGGAGGGCCCTGCTCCTTGGAGCTTACAATCTAAGAGGTATATATCTATATATTATTATTATACAGGATTTATATAGCGTCAACAGTTTGCTCAGTGTTTTACAATATAATGGGAGACAATACAGCAACAATACAGTTCAATACAAGAGGTTAATCTTTTTTTTTTTTTAAGTGCGGTATACTCATTAATGCCAAGTGGTATGCATCTATAGGTAAACAGCGGTGTGAAGGGGTTAAAGATGTTCTATTTTAAGATAGGCTCAAAGTTTTAGCTCTCTTCCCATATTGTTTTATTTTTAGGCTTATATGTGCCTGTAACAGAAGAGAATATATATAGAGAATTGGCACTGGAGAAGTGTTGGTTATAAGTAATAAAAGTCCATATAAAAGTCCAAAAGGATAAACACAATGCAGCATCCACAGCAGCACCCTTAATAGTAAAGCTGGAACTCTGTGGGGGGTGAAAGAAACAAAGGGGCACCAAATTAAGTTCAGCATAAAGTTAATGCAGTTTATTACAACACATACAATTGGCAACTCACTAGAGCAGGGATGTCAAACTGGTGGCCCTCCAGCTGTTGCGAAACTACAAGTCCCATCATGCCTCTGCCTTTGGGAGTCATGTTTGTAACTGTCAATTTTGCAATGCCTCATGGTACTTGTAGTTTGGCAACAGCTAGAGGGCCGCCAGCTTGACACCTGTGCACTAGAGGGTAGAAGTGGCAGGCATGTCTACAAGTCATACAGGTGTCTCCCCTGTGGTTCCGTCTTCCAGATGGTAAAGGTAGCCTCTATGTAGCTGGGCTGTAGCTTCCAAGAGCGGCCATCTGCTGTGATAGCCAGTGTGGAATGCAAGATGGCGCCGGACCAGACGTGACTTCAGTGGGGAAACGTGATAATGTAAGACTGGGCGGTAACGCGCTTCAGAGACCTGAAGAAGCTTCGAACATGTTACTTCCCACTCTTACGTCATCACATTCCCCTGCTGGCGTTACGTCCGGCACCATCTTGCGTTCCATGCTGGCTATTGCGGTGGACAACCGCTCTTGGAAGCACCAGCCCCACAGAGGCTACCCCAACTGCCTGGAATCCGAGGCCACAGGGGAGACACCTGTATGACTTGTAGACATGCCTGCCACTTCTACCCTCTAGTGCACAGGTGTCAAGTTGGAGGCTCTCCAGCTGTTGCCAAACTACAAGTCCCATGCTGCATTGCATGATTGACAGTTACACACGACTCCCAAAGGCAGAGGCATGATGGGACTTGTAGTTTCGCAACAGCTGGAGGGCTGCCAGTTTGACATCCCTGCTCTAGTGAGTTGTCAATTGTATGTGTTGTAATAAACCGCATTACCTTTATGCTGCGCTTAATTTGGCGCCCCTTTGTTTCTTTTACCCCCACAGAGTGCCAGCTTTACTCTTAAGGGTGCAGCTGCGGATGCCACATTGTGTTTATCCTTTTGGACTTTTATTACTTATAACCAACACTTCTCCAGTGCCAATTCTCTATATATATTCTCTTCTGTTACAGGCACATATAATCCTAAAAAAATAAAAAAATATGGGCAGAGAGCTAAAACTTTGTTTGAGCCTACCTTAAAATAGAACATCTTTAACCCCTTCACACCGCTGTTTACCTATAGATGCATACCACTTGGCATTAAAGAGTAAACCGCACTTACAAATTTAACCTCTTGTATTGAACTGTATTGTTGCTGTAAAGTGCTGAGCAAACTGTTGGCAAAGGCAGAGGCATGATGGGACTTGTAGCTTCGCAACAGCTGTTGGGCCGCCAGTTTGACACCCCTGCTCTAGTGAGTTGCCAATTGTATGTGTTGTAATAAACCGCATTAACTTTATGCTGCACTTAGTTTGGCGCCCCTTTGTTTCTTTCATATGTGCCTGTGAAGCTCACAATTGTGGAATCATTGTATTTTTTGGGTACCAGGGCTGTCCCTTTTACAGCTTATTTAGAAGTTCAGCAGCCTTGCCACCCCTTTGAAAAGCGATCCACCGCCGTTTAAAACCGCAGGCGCCTCCTTGGTCAGTTGTAAAGGGTGAACCACCGCACCGCTACTGTGCCAAAATCCGCAGAAATGATACAGACTCATGTTGTCACTCTGCACTGCCATCCTGGAAATGCTAAGACTAAAGCAATGAAAGAAGCTCTCTATGCACACCCCATGCAGCAGGAAGGCAATGATATATTCCCTCCTCTGGGTGCTATGCTCTCCATTCATTTTACCAGTCTCTCTCAGATGTGGACTTTACCACAGACAATGAGGCAGAAATCCAGAGCCAGGGGACAGGTAACAAAGTAATGTAACCCTTCCCCTGACAACTCAATGCAGCACCCAAGTGTCAGTGGCACACACAACACAGCCATGGCTAATCCCCACAGCACCAGAAGTAAACAAGCCTGCGCTCTGGGGACTCCGGAAGGAGCCTTTTAATTGGACAAGGAGCTTACGGAGCCGTTAGGACATGCGCATGCCCATTATGAGTTGGACGCAGGCTGGGCTTTGCCAAGGTAACGGGCTCTGTTTACATCGTTCTGACACCAGAGATCGAACCCTGTTGCAGTACAAAGGAAGCCCGGGGAAAGGAGAGTCCGCAGCATGCCGGTCCGCTTCAAGGTGCCACTACAACCTCGAGCCTCGAGCAGCAGCTGTCTGTTTTGTGGTAGCAGTGTGTTATAGAAGCAGAATAATGGCTGTGAATGGAGCTAGGAGAGAGAAGGAGGGGGCTCCATCTGTGCAGATTCTGGCTCTGGGGTTCCTTATTAGCTAGTATTGCTTCTCTCATTTCTTTAAGGCCGCGTTCAAATGTGCAGAAAAACTGATGGAAACTGGCACACAGATTTCACTTGCAGAGACATCAGATTTTATGCACACTTCAATGATTTTTATAAACATTGCAGATTCCTGCGCAGAAAAAATCCACACGTTGTACTAGTGTGGTGTGCACAGGGCACATATAGAACAATTGATTTTGTTGTGCCCTTGCAGAAAAACTGAAATCTTTGCACCATGGTGTGAATGACCCCTTAACCAGAGAAGCCCATGCTTAGATTTTGCATGGAAACTGCCATTCTTGTAGAATACCTGCAGAAATGGCAGTTAAAGGGCAACATCCACATATGATGTTTGATTTAAATTCAAATTTGCAGCTGTGTATTGTATTTCACATTGGTTGCAATATCTGTACAGAGATCAGGAAGAATGCTCGACTAGTGTAAGAAAGTGAAAGTGAAAATGACTACAGTGCAGGGTATATGTCCTTGTCTACCTGTCTGAATGGATTGTAGAGTGTGGATGTCAGATCTCTAGTAAATCTGCACTTCGTGTAACATAAGTGGGCGTTCCTGTGCTAATATCTAAATTCCCAAAAACAAACATTTAAAGGATATCTAATCTCAAAAGCAAACAAAAATAGAAAAAAAATATATATATATAAATAAATACAGTTTACCAGTGCTTGGGGGTGGTACCGGCATTAGTCTTCTTTTTATAGAATCAGAACATGTTCCGCAAGTACAGAAAATATCTGTTGATCTTGCCAGAAATGCAGAATCTTTGCCACTGCCTGTAAGCTTAACAGGAAGCAAAAGCAACCTCATCTTTCTTTTGTAGCCACTACATCTAAGAACTCATAAACTGCAATATATATACATGTATATAGGCAAGACAAAGTATGTGAACAATAGTAGATAAACAATATGCCTAACCCACAAGCAATTTCTAATTTCATATAAACTGTCTGCATTTATAGACAATTTGTCTGTGACTTAAGCCGGGCATACATGGATTCAAACTCTAGCTGGTTTAGCAGAGACCGATAATTGATCCATGTATGGGCACCTTGGTTGTACAGATGTCGATCTATTCCTGTCAGATTTTTCTATAGCTGGGAGCACTGTTAATTGTGTTCTTGGGGCTGGGATTGCTCCCCACTGTGAAAACACAATACTGCATTTCAGTGATTTGGCACAAATGTATAATGTATGACCTGCCTTAGATGAGGATCAGATCACATTTACTGGCAAAAATCATTCAGAAAACCAGTGAGTTTCACTTAGTTCACATACTTTTTATTGGCACTGTGTGTAAATATATAGATCGACTTCTGTACAACCATCATGCCCGTACATGGATCAAAATTCGGCCGGGTCCCAGCTGAACCAGCCACATTTCGATCCAACCCAAAGCTGAACTTCCACTAACACTTTTAAGCAGTTACAGCAACAGTGTGTTTTTTTTTCCTTTTGGGATAAAGTTTTCATACAAATGAATAGAGCTGACAGTTGTAAGCACCCAGTGTTAAAGCAAACTAAACCTTCCTATCCTTTACAGCCAAGGAAGCTGCCATCGTAGCCTGTGTGTAATCTGCAGGTGCCATGATGCTGCACGTGATCAGTTATTACTGTGGCAGTTATCACTGATGGCATGCCTTGAATGTAACTGTTATGGGAAAGTGTTAAATTGATGGGTTTAGTTCTATGTTAAAGTGGAACTAAACCCTCCTGTCGTTTTCAGTCAAAGAAGCTGCCTTCTTAGCCTATGTTTGATCTTCAACTGCCATGGTGCTGCACATGTGATCAGATATGACACCAACCACTTGATGGTTTGACAGTTTGTTTGAGAGCACATGCAATGTGACAGTTACATTCCTAGTTCCGCTTAAAATTTTTCGTCTCAATCCTCTAACTGTCTCTTTTTGTGGACAGTTTGGACTGTAAAAGGAAGTTAAAAATAAATGACTTACTGACAGGATCAACAGGTAATAAAATGATGTTACAGGTGAGACTGGAGTGTTAATGCTAGTGACAGACAGTGTTATACAGTATATGTAATTTGTTTACAATTTAAAGTTATGGAACAATGATCTTTGGTCAAAAAATAATGAACATATTTAACCTTTTCTCTGCTAGTTTTGAATACAAGCAGTATCTTTAAATTGAATTTAAATTTGATTTGATGTTCTATGTTGGTCCAGGCCTCATCAGAATATGACAGGAACTTCAAGTGGCACACATCCTATGATGCAAGTGAAGACCCTTCCCAGATATACAGATGGGCTGGTCTTCGATCTGATGAGCTTGGTGAGAAAAAGTAGTATAAATGCACTTGCATATGATTATTTCAGAAAATTGAAGCGCTGTCATAGACCTGTAGATTGAAGGTGATAATGAAGTTATAGAAGTTACATTCATTTGATAAGATAGAATCATTCGTGAATATGTAATTGTCAAAACAAAAAGATCTTTGAGCAGTCCTGTGGCTTCCACCACCATGTATGTGGTTGCTGCAATGTCATACCCCAGTATACTGCTGTGCTTATTGGACAGATATAGAATATAATATAGTGTTCTTATTATACAACAGTGTAACCATACTTATAGGATCTTGTTCTAAGATAGAATAATAAACATTACTGGTAATAAAACATTTTGTATATTTTAGATAGACTTAAACAAACAAAAAAAAACATGCTTTTTTAATCATTAAAGCGGTAGTAAACACTGCTTGGAGAATTGTACCTACAGGTAAGGTTATAATAAAACTTACCCGTATGTACAAGGATTATCTGCTAAACGTGCACAGATATTCACTGTTTCTGCAGTCGGTGATGTCACCAGTGCATGTACTCTGAAAGGATGGCATAAGTCAAAGCTCTGTGCCACGGCCCTGACTCCTGTGCCGGGACGGGAGCCCACAAACCCGGAAGAAAGACTTGGTGAAAATGGATGCCCTGTCAGCAGTGACAGTGCTCTGCTGGAGGGCTTTGTGCTAAGGTAAGTCTTTAAAGCAAAGCTTCACCCAAAAGGGGAAGTTCCGCTTTAAGGACTGCTCCCCCACTCCCCATTAAGGATTGGCACCTTTGGGGGGCAGCGGAGCGGGTACCCGAATTTGACAGGTACTCGCTCCCACTTCCGGTCTGATCGCCTAGGCGATCAGAAGCGAAAGGTGTCTTCCCTCCCTGTAGTCTTTTGGGTCCCAGAAGACTACAGGACCATTCATGAAGCGCAGCGCTACTCGCGCATGCGCAGTGGGTACCCGGCTGTGAAGCTGCAAGCTATCACAGCCGGGTGCCCACACTGAAGATGCCGGCCTCCTGGAATCGAGGACGGCCTGTTAAACGGGCTGCGGGGGACACACCGTGGGACCGAGGGACAGGTAAGTGGCTGTTTTTTAAAAGTCAGCATCTACAGTTTTTGTAGCTGCTGACATTTATTTTTTGACAGAGTGAGTGAAACTCCGCTTTAATAATGTGCTAGTATGCAATGCATACTAGCACATTATAACATTAACTTGCAGGGAGAATTTTTTTTTTCCATTTTTGCAAGTTTCCTACCACTTTAACTAGGTCTATGCTGGTATATGTGTTGATAATAGCAAGAACACATTCTTCTCAAGTGAAAGTCTTTTGAAGACACAAGATTAAATACCTTCTTGGTAGGGTTGTGCCTTTAGCCCTCTGCTATTCATAAATGTATTTTCTGGCTGCACTCTAACACTCAGAAGCCTCTTCAGCAAACAGACAGGTCATAGTCACATGAACCAATTGTAGTAAACCTTTGAGGCATGCTTATTTTATATATGTCTCATTTTCAATAGCTGCCCTAACAACCCTAGTTATTTTCCATCAGTTCTCACGATTTGTAATTTGAAATATAAGTATCTCAATAAACTACAGTGTTTTATGTTGCTTTTGATTATTTTTTTAAATTAAAATGTATGAGTAAGGAAGGGTTAACCCCCTATCAGGTTGCGTTTTTCTGCCACAAGGCAAAAGGAAATTTCCCTAAAGTATTGCGTCTTGAATTAAGACAGTCCATTCACTTCGAAAGGGACCTTAAAGCAGAACAGTGGCCAGGTTGTGGACATTCAAATTTTAACAGGCATGTGAAAGTGTAAGTAACGTCACCCTATGAATTTTGTAGACTTTTTGAACATATTTGAACAAGCAAACATTTTCTCTTCATTTAAACAGTGCCCACATATAAAGGAAATATACTTGAACAAATGTCACATAAAATTGACATGGCATATTCATTCTAATAATTTAAATTAACAAAAATGTGCATCTGTCACATGGAAAAAGTAAGTACACCCTTACATTTACGTAGTCTTCCAGTAAATTAAAATCCACTATTCTAGATTAGGTGCCAATGCTTAGAGCCCCAATAGAGAGTATGCAGGTGGAACCTGTCTTATTTAAACCCCAGACATCTAGGGGGAGATTTACTAAAGCTGGTTCACTCAGAATCTGGTGCAGCTGTACATGGTAGCCAATCAGCTTCTAACCTTAGCTTGTTTGGTTAAGCTATGGCAATAAAACCTGGAAGCTGATTGGTTTTCATGCAGAAGCTAACCTGATTTTGCACTCTCCAGCTTTAGTAAATAAACCCCCTAGGGTCTGGTGCTCTATTGGTGTGTGTTATGTCATCATGCTTAGATTAAATTAGCTTTCTAAGGCCCTCTGAAGGAAAGCTGTGGATGACTATGGGTCTGGCAAAGGAATTTAAAAAGGCTGTCAGTTTATTAGAAGTCCATCATTCTGTTGTAAGGAAAACAATCTACAAGTAACATAGGTATTAAATGACTGCTAATTTGTCCAGGACTGGCCAGACCAGCAAAATATGCTCTAAAACTGACCATTTGATGCTAAAAACGTCTTCTAGAATCCCCAAATTTTTATTGCAGATAACTCCGGCAACAGTTGTTGCCAAAATGCATGCATCTACAATCAGAAATATATTACAACAATTTAACCTGCATGGGAGGTGTGCCAGGAAAAAGTTTTTAATGTCTAAAAAGAACATTAGAGCAAAACTAAAGTTTGTCAGTGAACATATAGGCAAAGACCAGGCCTTCTGGAACAGTATGTTTAGTGCAAACAAAATACAGCATTTCTGGAGAAGATCCTCATAACAACTGTGAAGCATAGTGGTAGAAATGCTAATACTTGTAGTGCCTCTCTAAGCAAAGAAGGGGAATGTATGTAGTCCCCCCGGTACTCAGGAATGGGGTGCTGCTGGAAAATATCACCATCCAGTAGTGTCTGGCATACTTAGAAAACTCGCCACTCAACCTAATCCAGTCTATGTGGTTAACATATGTAAAATGGCCTCAGCCTTGCACCACTCCACAAGCCACGCCCTCTCACAGGTTGCGCCCCATCAGGGCTTAGTCATAGAGGTAAATGGCAGAGGTAGGACGGAAGAACTTATGCATCACTGGCCGTGAAGATGAGAAGATAAACATGTGCAAGTGATTAGGGTGATGAAGTGAAATAGGGAAACAGAGTTTGAAATTGAAAGAAAAGCTGACAGTATGTGAGAGGAAGATAAGGAAGGAAGGAAGAAAAAAAAAGAATGCTAAGGGATGTGAGAAATGATGCTGAAAGTAATGTAGAGTGAAAAGTTTAAAAAAGGATTGGAAAGTGAAAAAAGTAAAAAATAAAAAAGTGATTAAATACATTTTTTTTTTGTAAAAAATGAGAAAGAGAATTGAATAGTGATCAGTTAAGAGTTGTAATGTAGTGATGCCAATAAAAAAAAAACAATAAATAGTGAGTGAAATAATGAAAGACACCGTGTGGTGAAAATGAGAAGAAAAAAATGTATAGTGTTTGTTTAGTGTAAGAAATTGTTTGAAAAGTCCTACTGACACAGGGCATAACGCGTATAGGGGTGAATCCACGCTATGAGAGAGGAGATGGTCATTGTGTTGTGATGTACACTGCTGTTTGATGTCCCTTGATATGTGTATACCATACAACTGAGAGTGCGTTTAATAAGCGAGTGTTATTCTTGGGAATTTTAATAAAGACATTTTTATACAAAGAACACTATTAGCCACGTTCTGTTTTACATGTATTTCTGCCTGTGAGTGTGACACTGCCAGTGAAGGAGTGTGCTTTTGTGGAATGGAGGACATACTGCCCTGGAAGGAATAATAAGTGCCTTTTGAGACCTTGATGTAATATTGGGGTCAATACTATGATATGAGTGTTTAATAAATAGGGATGAGTGGCTGCATGCACAGCATGGACAACACTGGAAGTATAAAGAGGATTATGCATTTACAACACGTTGGTGGTGGACTGTTTATCAATAGATTATATCTAATTTATTATTTAACGTTTTTTTTATATGTTTTGCTCTACATCTGTGTTATACACTATATTGTCAAAAGTATTGAGACGCCTGCTTTTACACGCACATGAACTTTAATGGCATCCCAGTCTTAGTCCGTAGGGTTCAATATTGAGTTGGTCCACCCTTTGCAGCTATAACAGCTTCAACTCTTCTGGGAAAGCTGTCCACAGTGTTTAGAAGTGTGTCTACTGGAATGTTTCACCATTCTTCCAGAAGCACATTTGTAAGGTCAGGCACTGATGTCAGATGAGAAGGCCTGGCTCACAGGCCTCTAATTCATCCCAAAGTATTCTGTCGGGTTGAGGTCAGGACTCTGTGCAGGCCAGTCAAGTTCCTCCACCCCAAACTCGCTCATACATGTCTTTATGGACCTTGCTTTGTGCACTGGTGCACAGTCATGTTATAAGAGGAAGGAGTCATCCCCAAACTGTTCCCACAAAGTTGGGAGCATGAAATTTTCCAAAATGTCTTGGTATGCTGACGCCTTCACTGAAACTAAGGGGCCAAGCCCAACCTTAATAAAACGACCTCATACCATAATCCCCCCTCCACCACTTTACACTTGGCACAATGCAGTCAGGCAAGTACCATTCTCCTGGCAACCACCAAAACCCACACACGTCCAGCAGATTGCCAGACAGAGATCATGATTCATCACTCCAGAGAACACGCCTCCACTTCTCTAGAGTCCAGTGGCAGCGTGCTTTACACTACTGCACCCGATGCTTTGCATTGCACTTTGTGATGTAAGGCTTGGACACAGCTGCTTACCAGCCCATTCCATGAAGCTCTCTATGCACTGTTGTTGTGTTAATCTGAAGGCCACATGAAGTTTGGAGGTCTTTAGCTATTGACTCTGCAGACAGTTGTTGACTTCTGCGCACTGTGTGCTTCAGCATGCGCTGACCCCGCTCTGTCATTTTACGTGGCCTACCACTTCGTGGCTGAATTGCTGCTGTTCCCAGTTGCTTTCACTTTGTTATATTACCACTAACAGTTGATATGTGTCCATATGTGGCATGGTGGGGATATCCGGTGTGACGTGGCATGTTCTGTTTCCTTCTGACAGGGGACGCCTATGAAGATCTGGGTGTGGACCTACTGTGGTGTCATACACACATGCCATATTAAGGCCCACCATTGGCCAAGCCATTTGCTTTCCTTCTTATGTTCTTGCGGAGATAAGCTGGTTCTGTCTGTACTGGAAACAAATAATCTATATATTTTCTGTATGGCTCGCCTCCAGTCCTGGTCCCCTATGTCCGCCCCCCAGACATCTATGCCAGCGACTTACCACCTCCACTAGCACTACTCTCCCTCATATTCAAACTACGGTCCTGAAGAAGCCAAATGCATAGGCAAAACGCGTTGACCATATTTAAAAATATATGTATGTTGTCACTATGTGCTGAGTGGTTATCCTTTTTTTTTTTTTTTTTAAGTCCGCAAACGTGCAACTATATCGAAAAAACCCGTAAGTGTCCGCAAAAAAGTGCAAGTGCAAAAACACCACACGAAAAACGTGCACTTAGGGGTGTGCTGTGTCCTACCCCGAAAGGGGCTTGGACCGCTGTCCCTGATCCCCCGGGGCACGAAGCTCCTGACGGGGACTAGGTTCCCACTTGGTCCTCCTGACCAAAAGGCCGGGTGGACCACCGTTCCCTATGCCAAGCCGAAGCCGGACATTCAGTACTAGGCAAGGGGGCTTTCCTGAAGAAGAGCCCTCTAGGGATCAGGGGAGGAAGGAACCGTATGGCCACACATCCTCCCCCTAGACTTCAGGGTAGGCCCGAGGACCCACACCCTCCATCCGTGAAACACACACATAAGGCAAAGAAAAAGTGACAAACGTGGGAGTGCATAATAAATAAAGTAGAAGATAAAGTAAAAAAAAATAATAAAAATGGTACCGTGCCGAAATGTGCACAGACCAGGCCCTGAGGCCTGTAGCAAAAATTGCCCTGAACTTAGCCAAAAGGCCTGGTCCTTAGGGCGCTGTGCAAAAAAAAGAGTGTAAAAACAGTGACCATGTGTCATTTTCACACCGTGGGGTCCCACACCCAAGTGTTACTAGTGACACCCCTGAGCGCGTCTCCTCAGGGGGCACTGAGTTTGCGGACTTTTTGCCTCCTCAGCCCCAGGCCAGACCAAGGTAGCATGTTCAGATCAGGAGGTACTGGGTCTTTCCGGTCTCCCCAGAGGAATTACTCCCAAGGCCCCAGAACGAATCATGGCGCTCCCTGGTTTCTGTCCCTCCGGTACTAGCCTTCCGGACCCCCATCATACCAGTGAGGGTACTATACAACAACCATCCCCGTAAACTAGAATGGTCGGGAGCACCCCCACTGGACACTGATAAGAACAGATACTACACTTGATCTTAGCCAAAAGGCCGAGAAGCTGAGTGGTTATCCTTTACTATACATGAGGGGGGCTCTGTGCTCAACTTGATGGGCTTTGTTCTCATCTTCTCTTTTGAAGAGTATCTTTTGTAATATTGGTCCTATTATGGAGATATGATTCTTTTTTTTTCAATAAATGGTTATATGTATTTTATTGTGTGGTCTCTCACTGTGCCCAAAGAATCCAATGCTTTACCGTACTTAGCAGTTCGGTCCTTTTTCTTTTCAATATTTATAGGATTTGGCACTAGGAAGCTTGTTTTGATAGTTTTTTTTTGTTGTATTACCGCTAACGGTTGACCATGGAATATTTAATAGCAAGGACATTTCACAGATGGACTTATTGCACAGGTGGCAACCTACCTCAGTACCACCCTTGAATTCACTGAGCTCCTGAGAGCGACCCATTCTTTCACAAATGTTTGTAGAAGCAGTCTGCATGCCTAGGTGGTTGATTTTATACACGTGGCCATGGAGGTGATTGGAACACCTGAATCCAATGATTTGGAGGGCCGTCCCAATAATGTTGGTAAGATAGTGTATTAGTTATGCAAGGAAACCCACAACTATCTTGAAACTGAAGAAATTTTACATGGAGGAGTGGTCAGAATGTCTCAGAGTCAATGTAAGATTGTGGGGTAGTTATGCAATTTTGGAATTGGAAATTGGAATCGGAAAATACATTTTTCCTTATCTTTTTATTTAGGTATGTTACTTTTATCTGTGGACACTGTTTAAATGAAAATCTAATATCCTGTTCAAAAAGCCAACAATTTGTGTGTACATTTGTGTACAAATTCATAGCCAGCAGTAAACAAGCTTGAGGACCGGTTCACATTAGTACGGGCACAGCAGTCTATTCATTTGAATGGGCTTCTGTGCCTGCGTTTCACGCAAGGAAAAGATTCATCCAACTTTCCCAAAACGCATCTGCAGTGGAACCGCATGTCTTTTTGACCATGCGGTTTCTATTCGGTTCCTGCACCCACGATCGCACTGTGGGATGAGATGCATGGGGGCGCCATTCAAAATGAATGAATGGCACATTCAGAATGACTGGCACCCCGCACGTCTCGCAAAAGAAATGCAATGCGGCTGCTGGTGGTTGCAGGCGATTCCTGCATCCGAAACCAGCCCACAGCATGCGTGATAGTGTGAACCAGGGTTGAAATTTAGCAGCCACTGTTGAGCAAAATATATATTTCATGTGAATTCTTCTCTAATGTTTTGTTCTCTTGACTTTAGGGATCACAAAAGAGCCAAGTTTTTCTTCAAAACGAAAAGTTCCATATTATGACCCACAGATTTCAAAATCATTTCAATGGAAGGAAAATGATGACTATGCAGCAGAAAATATGAAGATAGGTCGGGGCATTCTAAAGGAATCCGTAGTTAAAGAGAAAATCGTTACACCAGATGCACCAAGGTCAAAGACAAAAGCTAGATCCAAGTCAGCAGTGCCTAGAATAGAGACTGATAATGGGCACTCAGCAGCTCCCAGAATGCAGGCAGCTGAAGGCCACTCAGAGGTGGTAGAAACACAGCCTGCCAAGGGTAGTTCACCTGCAGCAGAAGTAAAAAATAGTGAAGATAACTCTAAAAAAAGCACCGGTACCTAAGATATCAATTAATCGCAAAGAAGCCAATGGGGTAAGCAATGCACTGTATCTTGTCACCACACAGACATATTGTGAATATAAAACCACTACATAATGGTAAACATAATAAATCCACAAACAAAAAAGTATAAAGTAAAACATAGTTGTTATAGAAGGTTGACTTTTCGCTGTGACAGCCTCTTTTACGTGCTGTATAAATAAATGTGCACTCCTGTCCCAGGGTTTGATGTGCAGCATTGCTTTGTGTCTGTTGTAATAACAGAGATCATAGCTGTAGGAAATATGGGCCTAAACTTTTCAGTATGCTTATTGAGATTCCAGAGAACAGTCGTAGTTTTATTAAGTTCTGATTGTTTTACATAGAATATTGCACAATTGCATTGGGATTATTTGTATCTTTTAATCACACTTACTGCAGTGATCTGGTATTACTGCATTGGAGGAATGCAGGTCAACGCAAGGACACATAGATAACAATTGTTTTTTATGTGTCCCGTTCACACCACTATACTGGTGTCATGTGCATTGCAGTGGGTTGTGTTAAAATGCTACACATATGCATTTTAACACAGCACAACACACGTAAATGCATGTAAATGCACACCAACACAATGCAAGTCTATTGAAGAAAAAAAAAGCTTTTTATTGTTTTGTTCCTTACAAAAACCCATACAGCTAGCGTTGCCACCTCATCCCTTTAAAACTGAACGCATATTAATTACACAGGTTATGAGGCTAATTTAATACAGATAAAGCACTAAGTGAGTTTAATTACCACCTTAATCAGCCACAGAACCTGTGTAAATAATATGTGTTCGGTTTTAATGGGGTGAAGTGGCAACCCTACATACAGCAGGCATCTTAGATGGGAAGTAGAGAGCTTGCAGTGGAAAACTGGCTAGTGAGGTGGTGCAGTGGTAAGGTTTATAAAAATAGATGAGTGACATCGTACATCATGGCAAAAATTTCAAAACTGCCCTTTGTTCTTTTGTTACGTGAGCAATGGATACATTCAATAGTATTGTTTGGCTTGCCCCAATCTCCTTATCTGCCTTCTTCTCCTCTTCAATATAGATAGTGCAATCACAATGATTAGAGTTGTTATGTTAGTCATCCTGTACAAAAGATTATAAGGTAGGAGGCGCTGTCTTAATTTAATAATAAAGTGTCAGGAAAGAGTCCAGTAAGGTGCATTTTCCCACACCATAAGAGTGAATGAAAGTCTTATAAGAGGATGCTGGATAGTGCCTATTTTCCAATGGTGACACTGAACTATTCTGATGAAAGGAAAACAAAAATTGAAAAGAAAAAGAAAAAAAAATTGTAAAAAAGAAAAAAATATTTAATAAATGTTAAAAAAAACCCGGAATAAATATTTATTTATTTTAACATACTGTAGCCAGTCAGTATCCCTGATCACCTCCACACCAGTCATATTATGACGCTGTACTGCACTGGTGCAAAAAAATAAAATTATATAATTTCTTCATTTTCTGAAAAATTGAGACAAAAAAATTACAACTTTTTAAAAACTCACCATTCCTCTTACTAAATACCTCAGCCGGTCTACGTTCCAAAAAGGGGTCTTTTCTTTTGGTTGGTATTTGTACTCACCTGGCATTTTAGGACTTAAGAAAGTACATCAGGATTGATCAATTTTCAAATATATAGTATACAGTACATACCATAGTTTGTTGACTTTCACACAACCAGTTAACAATTTCGGGCCAACCGCCGTTGTACTGCGGAGGGGCGGCAGCTACAGGACCAGTAACGTACCTGTACATTGCTCATGCTTTACGAACACAGGGGGCACTGCACTCTTTCCCCCTAAGTCTGCTGTGTCCACCGGACACAGCGGAATGAGAATCCCAATAATCGGGACCCGGTGATCATGTGATCACATGATCACAATGACAACAAAGCTTTTATGAATCAATCTGATTTATAAAAGCTTTGCTTCTGTTCCTGTAGAGCTGTGATTGGTGCACAGCTCTCACATGGCACATAGGGACAATCACAACACCCTGTACCATGTGAATAGCTGGAGCGAATCACAGATCACTGTATTTTGAACTGTCATGAACTGAACTTATTCATGACAGTTGAAAGCAAGCTTTGCATTGCAGAGCAACAATCTTCATTGCTCCTGCAATGCAAAGTGTAAAAAAATCCCTGATCATCCTCCCCAGAGTAGTACAATGTTACTATGGTAACATTGCACTACTGTGATTAAAGTATTTTAAAAAAAAATAGTGAACAAAAAGAAAAATAATGTTAAAAAAAATAAAAATGTTTAAATAAAATTGAGAGAAAGTTTTTTGGAATTTCTTTTTAACTACTTGCCGCCTGACAACAATGTGCGGCTCTGGGCAAAGTGACACATAGTTTTCTATTTCAGGGTGTGCGTGCGCCACCCTGCTGCCCCCTATGCCATCTAGGGAGAGAAGAACGAACATGGAATATGGTACTGAGCAAAAGCACTAAATTTTACACACACGTGTTAGATTGGCACATTTAACTCTTTGATCGCCCCTATTAACCCTTTGATCACCCTGTCACCCAGCCAGTGCCATTAGTACAGTGTCAGTATATAGAATTTTTCACTGATCACTGTATTACTGCAACTAGCAACATCAAATAGCGTCAGGGTCAGTTAGCACCCCTTCCAGCCAGGGTCAGCTTGTGTTAGATTGCCTGCACACTATCACACTCGCGGTATAGGTCGCTGATCACTGCCATTACTAGTATAGTGTTTCTACGGATCAATATAATGATCATGAACAGAACTATACTAGTGCTTCCTTTTATAGTGTCTCCAAAAACGCAGTATTAGCAGGATTGGCCCCATTCGCTGCCAGCACTAGCGTGTAGCTGCTCCGCTGTTTTTTCAGGAAGATTTGTATGAATTGTCTGTGGGCCAAAACATTTTATACCCACAACAATGCTTCTCTGCCCACCCAAATTCAGCTTTTGCCAGACAATTCGCATGGAAACCTATCACAGCTTCCGAATTTAAAACTTTTTTGGGCCTAACCCTCAACATGGCCATAACAAAAAGAATGAATTGCGGTCATATTGGTCCGCAGACCCGGTTCATCATATGCCCATGTTCTCTGCTGTTACATATATGCTCTTCATGGACCAGCAACGTACTGGTAGTGGACTTTGAGTGGTTATACCGGGATGATGCCTGCACCTACAGTCATCATCCTGATATCATTTTTCGGCTTTCATGTAAAAATAATCCGAGCCACTAATGAGCCGCTTTTACAAGCAGTGGGAAGGAACTACCCCCCGCCACCTTTTAAGGTTTTCTTGGGCTCTCCCGCCCTATCGGGGAACCCAATAATGCATCCGGCAGTTCTGCTGACTGACAATAGAGCTGATCAGAGATTGGAATGCCTCCAAACATCTCTATGGTCTAAGAGAGACACCTCAAAAATTGTGATAGGCAGTCAGAAAGTAGAGGCTGCGTTAATTCCAGTATATATATACCATAGTTTGTAGACGCTATAACTTTCACACAAACCGATGAAAATACATGTATTGGGGTTTTTTTCACCAAAGACATGTAGCAGAATACATTTTGGCCTAAATTTATGACAAACGTTGAGTTTACTGGATATTGAAAAATATTGTTTTTCATTTATATTACAACAATAAAAAACCCAGTGGTGATCAAACACCACCAAAAGAAAGCTCTATTTGTGTGAAAAAAGGCCAACATTTTTGTTTGGGTACAGCATTGCATGACTGCACAATTACCAGTTGAAATAGCGCAGTGCCGAATAGCGAAAAAAAAATGGCCTGGTCAGGAAGGTGGGTAAATCTTCCGAAGGGCAAGTGGTTAATATACACTTATTGGGATTTTTTTTTTTTACCAAATACATGTAGCAAAACACGTTTTGGCCTAAATATATATGAAGAAATTTATTTTTCTTGGATATATTTTATAACAGAAAGTAGAAAATATTGTTGTTTTTCTTTTTAATTTTCAGTCTTTTTTCCTTTTATATAATAAAAAATTGAAAAAATGCAGTGGTGATCAAACACCACCACCAAAATAAAGCTCTATTTGTGTGAAAAAAAATGATATAAATTTCATTTGGGTACAGTGTTGCATGACCAAGCAATTTCCAGTTAAAGTAGCACAATGCTGAATAGCAAAAAATGGCCTGGTCATGAAGGGGGTAAAACAGTTTGGAGGTCAAGTGATTAATACTGTGAATGATGATGAAAAAGAAATCTTGATAGGTGTTAGGCAAATGGATGCACTCTGGAATGAAGAATGATGCAGTCAGTTTGCTGTAGGCTTGAGGATGCATTATTTCAGTCTTTCCTCCACAATGATTACTGTGACATTGTAACTAGCAAGTCTAAGGGTCATTGGTTCGAATCCCAACCACCTGTGTGGAGTTTGCATGTTCTCCCTGTGCCTGCTTGGGATGCTTCCGGGTACCCCAGTTTCCTTCCATACTCCAAAGAGTGTGATTGACTAAATGAATCCGATCTAAATTGGCGCTAGTATGTGTCTGAGTTAGGGACCTTAGATTGTTTGCTCCTTGAGGGTTAGGGACTGATGTGAATGTACAATATATGTAAAGCGCTGCATAAATTGATGACGCTATATAAGTACCTGTAATAATTTAGTAAATAAGTCCGAGATGAAAACTAGCAGCAGGGAACTGATCTGTGTCAGGCATGTGTGCAACCAGCCAAGAACATAAATACTGCTGCTCAGGCACCTGGATTTACATGATTGTGACACCAAGGAGAAATAGTTTAGTTCAGGAAGTAGATTAGACCCTGGAGGATGCCTGAACAAAAATAGTGCGGGTTTTCTGGGTTACAGGTAAGGCATAGTCGTGGAATGTACTGTGATCTCTTTGAAAGGTAATAAGTGCCTGAAACGTTACATTCTTTACACTGAGAAAATCAAACAAATGCCATTTGTCCAGGGTGCTCAAACCTTTAAATATGAAGTTATTTTTTAAGTAAATACTAGGATACTAATAAACACTTTTTTGAAAGGTTCACAGAGTTCTGCAGAAGAAAGCTGGCATGAATTTAGACCTGTCAAATCACCCTCTGAGGACATCTGAATATCAAAGGCAGTTTGAAAGAAAAGCCTGCGCAGAAAATTCTCCTTTGCTTGCTGCAGAACAGGTACATGTTGGTAAATCATACACCTTGAATGTATTCATCTTTCACTTTATCCATTTATTAACAAATTATTAAGCATTTCTGGTCATAGAGAATGTTTGTCTTTCTGTGACAATGACATAATATAAAACCCTGGTTTTTACAAATTAAAACACAAGGGACTGTTAGATCACAGATTACAGTTCGATTCTGCAGAAAAGCAAGTAAATACTTACCTCTCTGGCAATGCTGATCTCCTGTACTCTGCTATGATAAGTAGTGATGCAGGTATCAGCAGGACTGTAATGGGATCACCAATCTTGGAAGACTCAGTTACTGCAGACTTACTTCTTTTTTTAAATATTAAAGTTTTGCTTAGACCTACTCCTCCTTCCCGAGTTTCCCTATTGGCTGCCCAGCTCATTAAAGGCACCAAGCTTGATTTTGATATAATTTCAGGTGCCTTTATGGTCCCTTTCACAATCTGTTCGCTGATCCCCACTGAGCAGGCGGATGACAGGTCCGTGTCCGCTCTGTTTATGCACAGTGGACACGGACACACCCTGCTGTTCTCTATGGGATGGTTGGATGGAACCTGATCCAATCCCCCATCCGTCTGTTTGTATTGGGCAGGATTGGATCAGATGTCGGCGGATGTCAACGGACACATGTTCGTTGACATCCGCCACTCCATAGCAGGCAATAGAGGGTCTGATCGGGTCTGCCTAAAAAACTGACAGGCATACCCGATCGTCCACCCTTGTGAAATCATCTACTAATCATTTTGGCATACTGCTATCACTGAATGTTATTCCTGATCATGCATTTTTACATTATATGCTCCATTTGAATGTCCTAGGTTTATGACAGGTTTACTGGGAATGACAAAACCTCCTAGTGATTGTTTTTTAGTTACAGATTGCATTTTGCCCTAACACTAACAGGGCTTGTTCACACTATATGTTGGGCTGCCTTGCTCAGCACAATCCCAACGCAAAAATAAAGACATTTTTGTTGTTCCCAGTGGTGTCAGTTCACATCCCTGCATGGCAGGGGTGTGCACTGAAAAAAAATATTGCATGCAGTAATTTTCTTCCATACAGTAATGTTCTTCTGCAACACTTTTAACGTATTTCAATAAATTTCCAATAAAAAAGTAAACAGTGATATGCGATGAGAATGTCACATTGGCACTGTTTCCTACCAGTGCTGTGCAATCAGTGCAACTGTTGGTGTGAACAAGCCCTAAACCATTAACCAAAGCTGTGAACAGATATTTTTTTTAAATACAGTTGTGAACGTTTTCTTTTTCAGGTCATACACAACAAGAATCAATCAGTGCCTCACCATTTAAGTTAAATAGTCTCAACATAGAGACAGAATATAAGAGTCAGTTTAAAGGATCTCCTCCTGCTAAAGGTCCAAAGTTAAGGAAGGACTGGGAAGACAAACATCACACAGAATATGACGAAGATCATCATTCTCCTAAAAGAAAGGTACATTTCACTCAACCATTGGTGCCAGTTCATACTAGAATCTCACAGGGATGTCCAAGTTTCCACGTGATTCGGTGTGATGCGATTTTCAGCCCATTCATTTGTGCAGGAATCACACTGGACCGCACCAAAGGTAGCGCATGCAGCACTTTTAAAAAAGCACTGTAACTGGATTGCATGGTACTGCTGTACAATGCGTTTGAAATCTGCAGTTGGGGTGTTGTTCAGATTACACTTACACCTGCAGCAGATAGCTGTCCCAGTGCATTTTGAACACAGTGCTGGAAATGTGCATAGAACACAGGTTTCCCCCACTGCATTCTGGTTTGGGCCCTTAGGAAGATTTACACCCAGCAGTGTGATTTACATAGTAACATGAACAAACATGCATGTGTTTGGGTTAGGTATTCTAGCAGTGCTCTCTCCTAGTGTAGATCAGTGTTTTTCAACCTTTTTTGTGCAAAGGCACACTTTTTTCATGAAAAAAATCACGAGGCACACCACCATTAGAAAATGTTAAAAAAATTTATTGAAAAACTTTTTGACTTGAGGGCCGCAATGGGTTCATATATTGGACCCGGGGGCCGGACCAAGAGTAGATGAATGATGTGTATGTGTCATCCATAGTAAGTATAGTAATATTCCCCCATAGTAAGCATAGTAATTAATCCCCCATATAGTAATTCATCCCCCATAGTAATTCATCCCCCATATAGTAATTCATCCCCCATAGTAATTCATCCCCCATAGTAATTAATCCCCCATATAGTAATTAATCCCCCATATAGTAATTCATCCCCCATAGTAATTCATCCCCCATAGTAATTATTCCCCCATATAGTAATTCATCCCCCATAGTAATTCATCCCCCATATAGTAATTCATCCCCCCATAGTAATTCATCCCCCCTATAGTAATTCATCCCCCATAGTAATTAATCCCCCATATAGTAATTCATCCCCCATAGTAATTCATCCCCCATATAGTAATTCATCCCCCATAGTAATTCATCCCCCATAGTAATTAATCCCCTATATAGTAATTCATCCCCCATAGTAATTCATCCCCCATAGTAATTAATCCCCCATATAGTAATTCATCCCCCATAGTAATTAATCCTCCATATAGTAATTCATCCCCCATAGTAATTCATCCCCCATATAGTAATTCATCCCCCATAGTAATTCATCCCCCATAGTAATTCATCCCCCATATAGTAATTCATCCCCCATAGTAATTCATCCCCCATAGTAATTCATCCCCATATAGTAATTAATCCCCCATAGTAATTCATCCCCCATATAGTAATTCATCCCCCATATAGTAATTCATCCCCCATATAGCAATTAATCCCCCATAGTAATTCATCCCCCATATAGTAATTCATCCCCCATAGTAATTCATCCCCCATATAGTAATTCACCCCCCATATAGTAATTCATCCCCCTATAGTAATTCATCCCCCATATAGTAATTCATCCCCCCTATAGTAATTCATCCCCCATAGTAATTCATCCCCCATATAGTAATTAATCCCCCATATAGTAATTCATCCCCCATAGTAATTCATCCCCCATATAGTAATTCATCACCCCATAGTAATTCATCCCCCCCTATAGTAATTCATCCCCCATATAGTAATTCATCCCCCATATAGTAATTCATCCCCCATATAGTAATTCATCCCCCATAGTAATTCATCCCCCATATAGTAATTCATCCCCCATAGTAATTCATCCCCCATATTAAGTCCCCAAGCCCCCCCTGTGTCAATTCACTTACCTTTGCTCCGCGCGTTCCTCTCGCCGTTCCGGTGTAGCATGAAAATCTGTCTCCTATGAGGATCTGTCCCCCTCGACGTATCTGCGCATGTGCCAGTTTCAGGCATTAGCAGCCGATCGGCGATCTCCGGCACATGCGCAGACACGTCGAGGGGGACAGATCATCCTGACAGTATCACGCTCCGCGGGCCGGATTAAAAGGTCCGCCGGGCCGGATTAAAAGGTCCGCCGGGCCGTATACGGCCCGCGGGCCGTAGTTTGCCCATTGCTGTTCTAATGATTGGTCTATTTGTGAGCCGAGGCCACATGTTACGGATGAAATTGCAATTTTTCCCACGGCACACCAGACAATATCTCACGGCACACTAGTGTGCCGCGGCACAGTGGTTGAAAAACGCTGGTGTAGATCATATGCCAAGCACACAAATATTGGGCAGAAACACCTAACATACTGCTGGAGATGCAGGTGGCTGCTATGGCCTCTTCAAGACTCACAGGTATAGAAGAGGTGATCCCTTCCCTCTACTTAGTATAGTAGTTATTCCACTGTTCATGAGCAGTTTTAATATTTAACATAGTATTTAAAAATATTCTTGTTAAAGAAACCAGTATGCCGTCACCCAGGGGCAGACTGACCATTTGGAAACTTAGGCACTGCCCGAGGGCCCGGGTTCAGTAGGGGGTCCCATGAGATGCCCCTGGTACCTTTTTCATAGGCTTTTTTGAGTTTGGGCAAGGACACAGGGGCCCCATGTTCCCCTATTGCTCAGGGGCCCCATGAGTTGCCAGTCCGCCTCTGCCGTCACCTCATAATGTTTTCATTTTGAAAGTTCATTTGCTGGTAGAAAGGAAAATAAATCAGATCTCTGCAAGCAAGTTCATCACTTCATGCTGTGTATTATTGCAAATATTTGTTTATAGGATAAAAAGAAGTCGGTTGGTGAGGTGAAATCTGGTACTGTCAACGTGAACACATCTAACATAGAACAGGAAGAGAATGACCAACAAAATATTCAAGAAAAAATTCTTAAGGAAAAAATTCTTAAACAAGTTTACACTCCTACAAAATATTACAGGTAGGCAATCTTTTCATGCTACCTTAATAGACAGAATACTAAAATGTATTACACATGACAGGTTTTACTGGATGAAATGGTAGCTAAAGAAAAAAATCAATTCACATATAACTGACATATAAATCACAGGGTGAGTTAAAGTATTACTGTAGATAAATAAAAAAAAAATATGCATACTGTATATGAAGCAACCTTTCAATAGCATTGACATAGTGGTTGTTGTCTTGTCCTTTCTGTAATGTAGTTTTATTACCTGTTGAGCCTGCCAGTAGATATATTATTTTTCCACCTCTTATAACAAACTAACAATCCTATTTATTCAGAGCTTTTATTTTTCAACATTTTCATAATTTTTTCATTTTTTTTGCAATTTTACAAAAGTGTTTTCCGGCTGTGGACAGGGTAGTATTGAATGCACATGTAGCTTCAAACTGACTTTGAGTAAACAGGTAGGCAAACAAATTAAAACTTAATACCAGCTAACACTTACCGTATTTTCCGGCGTATAAGATGACATTTTACCCCTTGAAAATCTTCTCAAAAGTCGGGGGTCATTTATACGCCGGTATACGGCATACTGACACTTTTTAGGGGGGTAGCGCGGTGCCGCCGCCCCCCCCCCCTTCCAATGGAAGGGACACTAAGTACAGGGGTAGGCAGGGGCTGCTGTTTCTTACCTGGCTCCAGTCCCGCGACGATCCGGTCCAGGAAGCGCGGCTGCTCCTTCTGTTCGGCTACTGGATGTTCGCACGGCTGCTCGGCTCCGCCTCCTCACCGGTGATTGGCCACCAGAACTGTAGCTCAGGAAAGGCACACAGGCGGCCAATCACCGACGAGGGGGCGGAGCCGAGCGGCCCCGCGAAAATCGAGTAAAGGAGCTGCCGGTAAGTGTGCCGTGTAGAGGTGCTGCTGCAACCACATATGCTGGCTGCAGCAGCGTCATACTGGAACAGGGGTCAGCAAGTGTCATTGGTGTCAGTGGGAGGAATAGTTCCCCATCATTGGTGTCACTGATACCAATGATGGATAACTATTCCTCCCACTGACACCAACGATGGGGCACTATTCCTCCCCCCCACTGACACCAACGTTGGGGCACTATTCCTCCCCCCCCCCCACTGACACCAATGATGGGGCACTATTCCACCCCCACTGACACCAATGATGGGACACTATTCCTCCCACTGACACCAATGTTGGGACACTATTCCTCCCACTGACACCAATGTTGGGACACTATTCCTCCCACTGACACCAATGTTGGGACACTATTCCTCCCACTGACACCAATGATGGGGCACTATTCCTCCCACTGACACCAATGATGGGGCACTATTCCTCCCACTGACACCAATGATGGGGCACTATTCCTCCCACAGATACCAATGATGGGGCACTATTCCTCCCACTAATACCAATGATGGGGCACTATTCCCCCCACTGATACTAATGATGGGGCACTATTCCTCCCACTGACACCAATGATGGGGCACTATTCCCCCCACTGATACTAATGATGGGGCACTATTCCTGCCACTGATACCAATGATGGGGCACGATTCCCCCCCACTGACACCAAAGATGGGGCACTATTCCTCCCACTGATACTAATGATGGGGCACTATTCCTCCCACTGACACCAATGATGGGGCACTATTCCCCCCACTGATACTAATGATTGGGCACTATTCCTGCCACTGATACCAATGATGGGGCACGATTCCTCTCACTGACACCAATGATGGGGTGCTATTCCTCCCACTGACACCAATGATGGGGTGCTATTCCTCCCACTGACACCAATGATGGGGCACGATTCGTCGCTCTGACACCAATGATGGGGAACTATTCCTCCCACTAATACCAATGATGGGGCACTATTCCTCCCACTAATACCAATGATGGGGCACTATTCCTCCCACTAATACCAATGATGGGGCACTATTCCTTCCACTGATACCAATGATGAGGCACTATTCCTCCCACTAATACCAATGAAGGGACACTATTCCTCCCACTGACACCAATGATGGGGCACTATTCCTCCCACTGGTGTGCATTGCTAGAGGGGTAGTCTTATACGGCGAGTATAGCCCAAACACTACATTTTAGCAGGAAAAGTAGGGGGTCGTCTTATACGCCCAGTCGTCTTATACGCCGGAAAATACGGTAAGTAGTTTTACACTAGCAGTTTATTATTCTTTTTAAAGAAGTGGTTCTAAAGTCCGAAGATTTTTTTACCTTGCATGCATTCTATGCATAAAGATAAAAAAAATTTCAGTGTGCAGCCCCCCCCCCCAAAAAAAAAAAAAACTTACCTGAGCCCAATCTCCAGCGGAGTGGATCAGAGATACTGGCGGGGAGGCAGACTGGACCAGAGTTACTGGCGTGGAGACAGACTGAACCGGAGCTAATGGCTTGGAGGAAGATTGGACTGGGGCTACTGGCATCATGGCAGGCTGAATCCCATCGGTAAGCACAGAGGCAGGCTGAACCCTGTCAGCCAGCAGCATGGAGAAAGACTGGACCCTGTCAGCCGGCAGCATGGAGAAAGACTGGACCCTGTCAGCAGGCAGCATGGAGAAAGACTGGACCCCGTCACCAGGCAGCATGGAGAAAAACTGTACCCCGTCACCAGGCAGCATGGAGAAAGACTGGACCCCGTCAGCAGGCAGCATGGAGAAAAACTGTACCCTGTCACCAGGCAGCATGGAGAAAGACTGGACCCCGTCAGCAGGCAGCATGGAGAAAGACTGGACCCCGTCAGCAGGCAGCATGGAGAAAGACTGGACCCTGTCAGCAGGCAGCATGGAGAAAGACTGGACCCTGTAAGCAGACAGCATGGAGAAAGACTGGACCCTGTCAGCAGGCAGCATGGAGAAAGACTGGACCCCGTCACCAGGCAGCATGGAGAAAAACTGTACCCCGTCACCAGGCAGCATGGAGAAAGACTGGACCCCGTCAGCAGGCAGCATGGAGAAAAACTGTACCCTGTCACCAGGCAGCATGGAGAAAGACTGGACCCCGTCAGCAGGCAGCATGGAGAAAGACTGGACCCCGTCAGCAGGCAGCATGGAGAAAGACTGGACCCTGTCAGCAGGCAGCATGGAGAAAGACTGGACCCTGTAAGCAGACAGCATGGAGAAAGACTGGACCCCGTCAGCAGGCAGCATGGAGAAAGACTGGACCCTGTCAGCAGGCAGCATGGAGAAAGACTGGACCCCGTCAGCAGGCAGCAAGGAGAAAGACTGGACCCCGTCAGCAGGCAGCAAGGAGAAAGACTGGACCCCGTCAGCAGGCAGCATGGAGAAAGACTGGACCCTGTCAGCAGGCAGCATGGAGAAAGACTGGACTCCGTCAGCAGGCAGCACGGAGGAAGATTAGATCCCATCAGCAGGCAGCATGGAGAAAGACTGGACCAGAGCAACAGGTGTGGTGACAGACTAGACAGGAGCAGCAAGTGTGGAGGCAGGAGAGGACAGGAGCAGAATTGTGTGAGTTGGGGAAAAAAACCTCCTTTTCTTTTTAGGTTTGGATACTGAAGTGCTGTGGAGTGGTGGCAAGGCTGTGAACAGATTGCAGCAGATTTACTTAAAATAAAAAATGAAATTATATACTGAATGTTATCATTACAGGTATCAACTCCATAACGTTACTAGACTACAAAATTTATAACTAAAGTGTCCCTTTAAATGAAGTAAAAACTAAAGTTATTTATCTCATTAAGAATTAAACTATTTTAGAAGATTTACCAAAAAAAGAAAAAAAGCACTCGGGGAAAATGTACATCCAAGTGATGACTCAATTGTTAAATGAAAGCCAGATCTATTTATCTTTTAATACTCTAAACTTCTTTATTTTGATAATGCTTCATACAGCACATATTTAGCCTGATTTATTAAGGAAGTTGAGAACGCGTAATAAAAAATAATGCAATCGTGAGCATAGCAAATTCCAATGCATTTTTGTCATTTGCACATGACTGGATAATTAACTCCTTTAGTAATTCAGTGTCAATATCACATTTATAAATTAAAAAAAAAAAAAGGTAATAAGTAGAATCGTCAACTGAAATGATCCTGTGAGAGTAATGTAAAATGTGATACTATGTGCAAAACTAAGGGTGTCAAGACACTGGATAAAAGGAAACCAATTGTTTTTTTTTTTACACAAAAAGAAATTGTGTACCTAGATTTACCCTTCAGATTGATGTAGTGTAGAATTGCAAGGGTAGATTTAGGGCCAGTTCACACTACATGCGTTTCAGGTGCTTTTTTTCTGCATCCAAAACACACAGAAAGTAGGTTATATGGTTGCCAATGTCATAGTTCACATCAGTGCTTGCAGTTCCAGTGCATTCCAGTTGCATAAAAAAAGTAGAACATGCTGCATTTTTTTTTTTGCACAGAACTGTACTGGAACTCGGTAAAATGCATAAAAAATGCACTGTAACGCACCAAAACGCACCAAAAATGCACTGGAACGCACATGTCCCATGAAACATGCACTGGAACGCACATGTCCCATGAAACATGCACTGGAATGCACATGTCCCATGAAAAATGAACTGGAATGCATAAAAAACGCACTGGAACATGTCAAAAATGCATCTGCACTGCATTTCTATAGTTTGAACCAGCCCTTTGAGTCTTTTCAGTCACTAATGAGAGAGTGGGCTGTTTTCTTTATGAAAGTACTAGCTATTTTCAAGAGAGCAGATTTCAAAACGTAGTTTCTTTAAAGAAGAAATATCACCAGCAGGTGAAAAATACAATCCCCCAGGTGACCCTGTGCACAGAGCACTTTGGATTTAAAATAAAATGCTTAGTTTATTTCTGTCATTGCTGGCTGTCGTCACCTCCAAAGCCCAAAATATGTTCCTATTAGGGAATTACAGTCAGCACAGAGCTCTACACCCTCTCTGTTCTGCAGTGCTGTGTCTTTTCATCTCTCACGGGGACTGTTCAGACTTGGGAACTGTGCTTCTGAAAATCTCCTAC